CTTGCTCGAATTTACACTTGAGATAGGGGGAAGCCTATTCGAACTGATTATACCTATCCTTTGGTCTGACCTAATGCCATTTATTTGTTAGAACTCAAATCGAACTCTTGAATGGCGCACTAACATGTTATATTGACCTATCTTAAATGATATAATGTTCCTTAATGCTGATTGTTTAGGTGATTATATATGATTTTTAGGAGGGGAATAATAGTAACCACTCCTCCAGCATTCATAAATTATATAAGTGGGCTGATTTAGTTTTCATAAATTTGTGTTGTAAGGGCGACTTAGTTGGAGGCCCCTGTCCAAAGTTTTTTGCTATAGTAGTTAACATAATTCCCGAAATCTGATTGTGGGCTCGGTATTTCCCCAGACGTTTTGCCGGCATCGTCAGTGAGTCTTGCTACTCTCAGCACCAGGCTACAGCTTGTCAAAAGAGACAAATGGAGTCGATCCCTTTACCAACTTTATGTTGAAATAGTTGTGCTCTCACTTCTGTCTTGGTCCATCAATCTACCCCATACTCTCTTATCTCACTCCCGTACTATCACAACTACTGACTTGTTTATACTTCACTCCTTTAGAGGTGTGCGCTTTTTGGTGAATTAAGTGTGACGTCATACCACCTACTGCCTACATTCCCTCCCTAGTACTTTTCACATTGCTGATCCTCCTTAGGCCTCCTATTCGATTCTCCTTCATGGGCTCGTAGATCCGTTTCTTATCTTTCTAGTTAACTGATTTTATTCGGTTCTAGTCGAAGAATACTTTTCCCATACTTGCAGATATTATACATTGCCTTCTCTGTGATTAAATCCGTGTACCATGAGTAAACTGTATACGTCTTTTTCTGGTCGCCTGCTGCATCTCGAGTGGATTTATAGTCAATTTCGCCACATTGCCTAATTTACGTGACTTTTGTAATTATGTGACTGCCAGGCCCACAAAATTGTAGTTTATTCGAGTTGACCACATTCACTAAGAACATCTTCGCTTGATTTCCCAAATTTTCTTACCCGCTTATTACATACTATCCAGTTACCTCTTTTTAACGATAGGTCTTTGATCCAGTCGTTTCCTTTTGCTGGTTTTGACTTAACCTTGTTTTCTCTGAGTTTCCTCAATTAATAGGCCAGTTTATCGCTTACTCTTTCTTCATCCAATTTCCTTTTCCTTAGATTTCTTTCCCCAATTGCCTCCATAATGTTCCCCTTCCTGGTGTTGTCACAGTGTGAGGCCCTTCTTTCTGTTGCCTTAAAAATGATAACTTGTCCAGTTTATGCGATGTGTTCCACTATTTTTGATCTTTCGGTATCCATTTTCCTGCAGAGACTTTGATGTTTATTGGTGCACATGCTGATCTTTTTATCTGTTTCGCCAATATATTTCTATAAACTGATGCCGCATGCTATATTATTAACTCCAGAGCAATTCAATTTGTCTACCCTCTCATGTTGCGTGGATAGACTCGTAAAGAGTTTTATTTGCACCCTCGTAGTCACATGAATATTCCATTTTCTTAATGTAGGTCGTAGTCTTTGAGTTAGTCTGCTTGAAGTTAGACATATCCACTTTAGTGAGTCCTTCATCCTTACTTTTTTTTCATAATCCCTTTTATGTCATTAACTTTTCACGCCCCGTATGCTTCTTTCTATTACTTATATTGGGTATCCGTTGCTGAAGGATAACCGATTCAGTTTATCCAATTCTTCATCTAAAAATCCCATGTCCGTTTGTCGTAAGGTTCTGATGATCATGCTCCTCATTCTTTCTATCTTTACCCAGTAGTCGTGATGTGACTGGAAATTGAATATTATTCCGGCATATGACTTTTTTCTGAACACTTTCCTCTTGAGTGTCCCATTGATGCCAATGACTTTAATATCCAGGTAAGGTAACTATACTCTCTTCCTGTGCTTCTATTGCGAATTTATTCTTTCATCACTTTAGATTATGAACTTCATAAACTTTTCCGTGCGTCCAAAATTCGAGGTATTCGTCCAGGTATCGCATGACTCCTGATTGAGGCGATGACATCTTGAAGTTTTCGTATAATTCGTTCATGTATACGTTTGCCAAAAGAAGTGAGAGCGGCGATCTTCTGGAAGCAGGAAGGATCAGGAGGGAATCTTTAACGCGACTAATCAACTTAACAATAGGAACTACAATCAACGGACTTTCTATGAGATCACCGCTCTCACCTCTTTTGGCAAACGTATATAGAGACTAAAGAAGTTATATAATAAACTTATATAACTTTACCTGATTTATCATTTGTAATGATTCATTAGCAGGTAACAATTGCAGGAGTGCCTTTTAAATTTTGTTGTCTTCTACATGTTAAATGAGAAAGTATTTATTCATATTCCGGATCAATAATTTATGGGCTCAATGGATTCTTAAATTGGACAAACCCGAAATTGAACCATGTATTTTTTTTGCTAAAATAAATGGCATGACCCCCTAGCAAAATCTCGCGTTTATTCGTACAATTTACGGTAAAGTTAAAAAATATACTCTACATTGTTAAATTGGTTAATATCACTATTGAATCCTTAGCTAAACTTTAACTAGTAAAGTGTTGGTTCGACCTTGTTTTCACAACTTTGTCGCAGCGTCAAGGAGACCTTGTGAAACTTACCTAGTCCTGCGTTCTCCGCCATAGCTTTGGACCATTGACTTGTTATATTCCGAAACGTTTCACCGGCATCGTAGTCAGCATCGGCAGTGAGAGGTGACATCGTAAGCACAGCGTTACAGCACATCAAAGTTATAAGTATAGACAATCCCCTTGATAAATTTTCTGTTCAACAGCTTGTACTATTAAAATCTATGGGTATTCGTCCAATGTTAATTCTAGAGCTTATTTAGTCTAGTCTATAGAAAGGTTTGTGCGCATATACTCTACTCCAAAACTTACAGGCAAATCCTCATTTTATATCCTCTGCTCATCCATTAAATTGCCGAGTTCATAGAAATTTTTTATTGAACACCGTCAAGTCTCAGATATTTCCTTTAATTGGGAATAAATAAATCGTAACTATGCTTTATGCCACCCTTATTATTAATAATAAATGTATGTGGGACCCTTTATTTATGTATTTTTGGCAGAACATATGCTTTCGGAACGCTGTTATTTCTTTAAAGGAATGTGCTCCTTTTCCGTTTCTATAGTTCTCTGTTTGATCAACAATCTTGCAAACAGCCCCTGGGCCTCTCCATATTGGCCTAAGGTGAATGCGGCTTTTTTACTTTTATGATGTTTTTTTGGAATTGAATGTAAACGAAATTATAGAATGCTCTCTGCTGGACTCTTTTGGTTTCATTAGGCAAACCTTATAAACAACTAAACAGGATAAATATAGAATATATGAAGACCAGAATGATGTGGCTTCTGTTATGATCGCAGTTTCCTTTCGATTTATAGAAGTGAGTTGACCTCGTTGTCGCAACTTAGTCTTGTTGTCAGGGCGACTATGTAGAACGCACCTAGTCCGAAGTCGTCTACCATAGTAGTTGTCATGATAATGGACTTGTTACATTCTCAAACGTTTCGCCGGCATCATAGTCGGCATCATCAGTGAGCTTTGCCATTCTCCGCACCAAGCTACGAACTCGTCAAAAGAGACAAGTGAAGTCAATCCCTCGACAACCGTTCTGCCGAAAACGGTTAAACTGTCGGTTGTAGCGGTGCCGTCTTGAAGCTCTCTTCTATTTTGTTCATGTATACGTTTGCCAGAAATGGAAAGCCGATGGAAGAATGGGGATTATAAAAGAACAGTAAGGGTGATGAAAGATTCACAAAAGTGGGTAGACTTGTGAAAAGTGTTGATTTCTCCTTCATGGCCACCTGAATATTCCATTTACTCAATATTGGCCGTAGTTTTTGCATTAGTTCGGAAGAAGGTAGGCATATCCACTTTTGTGAATCTTTCATCATCCTTACTGTTCTTTCATAGTTCCCGTTCTGCCATCGGTTTCTACTTTTGGCAAACGTATACATGAACAAAATTGATGAGAGCTTCAAGACGGCACCGCTACAACCGTCAGTGTAACCGTTTCCGGTAAA